TGTTGTTTAAAATTATCTAAAATTATAACATTCTCAGTAGACACTGCATCATGTTACATTTTTTGTATCGACGACATGTTTCAATGTGTATTACATCATCATCAGGTCTATCAATTTTTAATATATTTTAAAAACTGTAGTACATTTTGCGTTGCGTTTATTGATTATTTTAATTTGTTTAATTTTAAGTTTTTTGTCTCTTCCTTTTGGTTTGGAGGTTGTACTTGGATGTTTTATATCGGGTTGTAATTGATGTGTTGTGTGTCCGATATTAAGAGACGGTAAACTGCCTTATTACTACATTATTTTAAGTTTGTGTATAGACGGAAAATAAAAATATTGTATTATAGATATCTGTTTTACAGGTTCTTTGTAATTCTGCGATAATGAAACTTACATCCTTACTGCCTGGTATTTCAGCTTTTGGTGTATAAGTCCGTATATTTACGAAATGTAAGATTAATACAGTCAATATTACTATATGCATACGGAGAGATGCCATTACATGTGATAATTATACGAGGCGGCAACATTAAAATAACTTAGCTATTTGCGGTGGAATTATCACTACGAAAATATGGATTAAGTTAAAGGCGAAAGTAGTTTTTTTTCAGAAAATTAGTCACATGTCGGACGATAGACTAAGTGAGATTTATATTATTTTGTTTATATAGCATACTACAGTCCACGACTGTAATCTTGAGACTTGCAAGGAATGCAGGAAGTCCGAAGCGTTAAAGGCAGACGCTACCTTTCCTCCTTCCTCCTTCATCCCACCTCCTCACCCCACAAGTCTCAAGATTACAGTCGTGGACTGTATGCAGAATTATTTGCTTTTACAGTAGGTATGTGTGTTGTACTTCGAAATGCCGTTCGTACCTCCACATGGAGAGAAAGAAACAAAAAAGTTCATTGAATTTTTCTGGTCAAGAATGAATACGAATGCCCTTGAACATTATCCACATATCTGCAGCGGTTGCTTTCATATAAAATTTTTAATAACGAAATAGCAGTGTTTTAGGCTACTTTAAGTTTTTACCGCGCCTACAGCGTAGAATTATCTACGGTGCATGCGTTATCATTAAATATGAATTTTAAAATTCATTGGAAAAATATAACATATTAAGAACTGTAATGCGAAACGGTATATATCGTATTCCACGGGTTGAAAGCTGTCTGCATAATAGAAAAGTATAAAAATCGATGAAACGCAAGCCTGTATATTTTTACGGCTGTATTTGTCGAGAATATAAAACATGGAAACTTGCTGCGTTATACTTGAATTAAATGCAGCAGCTGTGGGGTATTTTAACTTGAAAAATGACAAGCGAACTGCACACTAGTACTTGCGAAAGCGAGGATGTCGGACGGGTTAAAACACACAAAGCAGAAAATGTAGATGTAGTATTGCGTTTCAGGTTTTGAAATTGACCCGAAAACTGGACAGGAGTCGTATTTGCTGAGCGCTTGGGTTGTATGTAAATACTCGCAGGGGAAATCAGAAATACGGCGAAACAGGTGGCGGAGAAAGAGGCATGTATAAAACATCATGACTTCACTTATGTACCTACATTCAGGGATATTTTCTTTAGACACTCGTTTCTACATAACAAATATTACTAACAATAAAAAGTATGGAACATTAAGTCAGTTGATGTAAATTCCATTAAATTCGATATTCGAAACGTAAAATATTCCCACTAAGGCCCCTCGTTTCCAGCGAAGAATTAAGGTTTTAAAAGTTTAATTTAAATCTTTAGGTATTTCTTATTTTATATGATAAGGTTCTGTGATAAAAAAGCAGAAAAGGTGGAACCAAATACGAAATAACTTTTCAACCCAATGTTACAGGCAGCTAAAAAAATATAATGAAGAACTGTAAAATTCAGAAAGTTCCATTTTATTAAAAATAAATTATATATGTGAATGGATTCATGAGACTCAGGTCAGGTCTGGTGACGAGCTCCTGTGAATACGGTAATACATCTTCGGATGTTATAATAGGACGTAAATTTCTTGACTAAGCAAGGAAACCACTGAGTTTGCTAGTTTGTTAATAAGTCGTTATCAGCAGCTAAAAGGTTTAAGTCATTTGACCTGATTTGATCTCCGAGTTATTCGAACTTATCCATCTGTCTGTTCTGTGGTTTGCCTTTATAGTGACAGTCAAATAACTGCCCCGTTTAACGTAATCATCCAAATACTATGGGTACAAAAAGCATGCATAATATCATTCAGCTATAGACTCCGCCAACGTCTCATACAGAGTCGTTAAGCTACCTTATAATAAGCGCACTCAACTTTGATTAAATAGCTGCATTACTACACTTAAATAAAGGAAAGGATAACCCCGGACATGTAAAAGTAAACTCTGGTCTTTGTTTAACGCTGACATGTTCTGACGAGAAGGTTACTTCAAAACCGAAACAATTACATATAGTACATTGCATTACAGTAATTCTAATTGCAGATTCCATTTGTTGAGTCATTTGCGTATTTATTTAAAACAGAGGTTCTAAATCTTGGTTTAATGCCAAAGTTTTAAATCCTATCACGTAAACGTGTTTAACGTACAATAGGTGATCAGTGGAAAATAATGAAAAAGTGAGCGAGGGAATTTGAAAGTGGATGAGTGGTGCGTCTGGGCGAATAAGTGGGTGATTTGAATGAGCGTGTGAGTGATTTGATTAAGCACGATTTCGCATAAATTTTAACTGGATTACTGGCTAAACCATACGCGGTAGCGATTTCATACGCTCCAGTGATATCAAGTAGTAAACCAACTGTCTCTTGTGTGATGAGAGCGAATAGTTATATCAACCATTCTACAAGCTGTTGTACACAAATTCACTTTATTGAAATTTACGTACATTATCTGTTCATGAAAACAAAAACGAAAGAAAGAATAGGTCAATGTTTTGTAACACCATAATGCACCATAATGAGAAAACATTCTCAAAACATTCGTGCCAAATGCACGGCTGTAAAGTTCGTAAAAATTTTTGACAATTTAAATTTTATTGAATGTCAAAATAATTTGTAACCACAAGAAACATTTCCCAGTAGCGGATTTAGGGTCTGTTCAACACCCCTAAAAATATTCAGAATGGCGTAATATCGTTATAATATGCCGCTTATGGCTGTAACGAGTTCATTTGTTATATTTTGTTTAAAATTCATAATTTATTAATATGCATATAAATTAATTGTATGATTTTTAATGCTGTAAACATTATTTCTTACTGGGATATAAAAATATAAATTACACAACTTTTAATCAAATTTTGAATTGAAACATTATAACCAGATGAGGAGAATAAGACAAATTGAGGTTATTTCAAAACAGGGACGTAGTTGAGGGAATTACAGTCGGTAGAATGTTAGCTTAAATAGGATGAAGGTGAATGAAATATTTGTGGGAATTGTCTTTAAAATAGGTTTCCTGGAAGACTAAACATAGGACAAGACAATAATATTAATGTGGATATTAGATATGTACGTGGACAGGCTATCGACTGCATTGGACCTACTGAAGTTCAGGTCCAGTGACGAGCTCTGTGTTCGATGAAAGAGAAAATAGGTGTAAAGTAACTGTCTGAATATTGATATTAATATTAATTTGACGAAACTTTGAACGACTGAAACAACATTCGTTAATATAAATTATTTTCGTGAATTTCTGTCTACGAGCTCACAAAATCAGTTTGCTTCAGACGATCGGGCGACCGCATTTTTTTAAGCCAGCTTATAAATGAATGTGTAATTAATCGCACAACTGTTGGCTTATGAGTACCTTTACTGAGAAAGATGAAAGGATGGTTTCAATATTTATTAATCAGTCGGTGCTTTGTACGTCACGCGTCGCCCACTCTGTTCTGTCCGACAGTCTATTAACTATTTACACCTCTGTGAGGTGAAGCCAGACTGTCGTGCTGCGACCCCACAGCCTTGTAAACCTGACCTGGATTCATCTCCACAGGAAGCTGTCTGTATTACCATCAGCACTACGTCATCTCTGACCAGTCATAATAGATATATGTACAGGGAAACAGCTTTTGGGGCAAGATAAAAATCGGGTCGTCGTATATTTTGCATACATATTATAAACTATCATGCAATATATTCGTTTAAATACACGATTTAGACAAATGAATATGAAGTCAGGGGATTATAATAAAATATCTATGCGTTTAAAAGACTGTTGAATATTAATCTTACAATGCCTATTTGTGCCCAATATTTCAGTAACCTGTTTATTGCAAAGAATTTATGGAATTTGTATCCGAAAAGCTTGTCTGAGACAGTAATTTACAGACTTATGATGTAATAGCATACACAATTCACTGCACAAAGATATGGGAGCTAAACCTTGAGCGCTAATATGGAAACATTTCAGGTTCTCATTCTGGCGATTATGAACTTTTCTGTCTTCTAGGATTTTGCTCCATATGGTTTGGTAGACGTTTACCGACGTTTGAGAGGTACTTGTTGCTCCCATTATCAGGAGAATAATAATAAAATAGCGTATAGAATCTAGATTTATAACCGACGCTCCTTGAAAATACTAGTGAATTGTCATACATATCTCCTTTCAGAATTCACCAAATGACGTATGAGGATAAAATTTGGATTAAGTAATCAATTCGTTAACCGAACAACGGTAATGGGGTAGCATCAGTGACCGGGACTTCATTTTAAACTTGGTAGCTCGGCAAACACTTTGAAAAGTGAAAAATAAAGATACTTCTGACTTGCTTTCGTCACTTAATGTTACTCCATACAATAGAACACGGTAGAACCAATCAGATAAAACTCAGGCTTACGATTATTGCAAATTTGCGATGCTGTTTCTTCGAATCACAAAACAAAACCAGAATACTTTTAATTTTCTTTTTTCAAAGTATTAACCATGTTAACGCGGTTAACACCAATGCTTCACCTGCCCCCTAGGAAGAAACGATTGTAACAAATTTATAACAGTTATTTGTGTTTGTTTTCAGATGTCCCAGTGGTGTCCCTTAAGATGGGTTCCAGCCTCAACCCAGATGACATCAAAGAGGGCGATGACGTTTATTTTGAGTGCAACATCCGAGCCAATCCCAAGGCTTACAGATTAGCCTGGTTCCACAATGTAAGTTAGAACAAATGACTTTATGCTTACTGTTGTGGTAAAATAACTGTGCGAGCCATTTCTCAAACTTTCCTCCACAAAATCAGTGCTACACTAGTTACCGTAACAGAAACACAAAAAAGTCCAGCACTTGTAAATTGCTATATGAAAATATTTTCAGAATTAAAGATTAATTTATTGTGTTCATTTTCTTAAGCGAAAGTGAATTATGTCTTATTTGTTGTCAGTGCAAATGAAATGAAGCTGCCCAGATTTTGAATGATTTTTGTAAATCAGAATCCCTACTTTAGTAAATGTATTAAAATGTCGTTTAAGGATTATGGCAATAAATTCGATAAGGGATAGTTTAAACTCGACATATCAACTCCTCCGCCAACACACACTACAGGTAGCGAGGTCGAACTCGTTTTACGGATTTGGGCAGATAATTTCCAAGGACACACGATTAAATTAAGAGTCTAGAGGAAAAATGCTCTGCCCCCGTAGGTGATCTAACGCCAGTCGTCCAGTCTGTAGTCGGTCACTGCGATAGAATTCTAAAGTGGATAACCACGGTTCAGTGGCAAAGGTTTAATAGAAGTTATATTCTGTAGATATGGGAAGTATTATATATAACCAGAAGTTCGAAATGAAAAAAATCTGTCATTTTATCTTGGGCAGGAAATTGTAACAACGTACATAAAGTCTAGGGAGATCATCTATGTAAACAGATAACACATATTTGATTGCCAGTAATTGAGCTGTATTTAAGAATTAGGTAGAAGGTATGTAAGTTTGTCTAACAGCAAATCGTATAAAGCTAGTAACTCAGTGGCAGTTTAAAAGTTCTGAAATAACAGTGACAGTGAAATCATTGTTTCAGACAGTAGTCTGATAAAGTTACGTAAATAAACAGATTCGATTGAAGAACCACATTTTTTTTATGAACGAAGTTTTAAACAATATTAGTCACACAGATGGTAATGAATTACGATGCGAAAGTAGTACACTACCGTATGAAGCATAAGTCTTTCCATCGTTGGATACGTAATATTAGTTTCGCTCGTTTACTTCAGATTCCTGAGTTCAGTACAATGTCGGTAACACATTTTCGACCGATCGAAATACGATATCTGAGGCAAGCGAAGATGAGCACGTTCAGTATCAAGCCTAGAGTCACATAATATGTGATGTCAGTTCTTGTGCACGTAGCATACGTTGGACCCACCTTCTTTCTAGTGTCAGTAGTTTAAAGTAAGAGTGACCTAAAGTCGCGTTTGGACCGTAACGCTGATGCTGACAGTAATAGTGGTTTAGCATCTGCCTCCTATCAGTCATCATTTATTTTGTGGTATTAGCGAAGTATCTTGTAAGGGTCGGATTGACAGTTCTTTCTGTGGACGGAATCCGATATACCGCAAACTTTTTCCGTGGGTGTAAATGCCTCGTTGTTTCCGTTTACTCATAAACCCATAAGTAACTACTACCTTTTTGATACTTAATTCACTAGCTTTACCTAAAATATTAGCATATTATAGATTTACTTTAGATTTCTGACTGAAATTACTTGTACTACGAAGAAATATATGTATAAACAGTAGCTTGTGTACGTAGATGGAAAAACTCTCAATATGGTCGAACATATTAATTTCTCTCACTGGCATAAGAACTGTTACATCAATGCTTAATCCAACTGAGAATCACTTAAATGTTACTGAGACGTAAATTTCATATGAATGTAATTTGGAGCGTTATCAGGCCTGTTTATCGTAAGCTTTATAAAATATTAAAATATTTTTGTAAACATTATTCTAGCATTAGTTCTTTATTCATGTAATTGTTAGTCGTTAAGTGTTTTTTTTCAAAAATTGTTTAAAATAAACACGTTGTTGTGAGACTGGGTCCATTCATCTTCAAATTTGCTCACCGAAATCATCAATAGTCCGTCTCGTAGAACAAATATTTGGTGTTCGGTAATTAAAACAGATAGTGGTTGCAAGTCGAAACGTCTCCTGCAACGATCCTTAAAAGACGTAGTTGATGATGGGCTATCAAGCATAAACTGAAAGGTAAAATACGTCACAGGATGGTCATCCAAGTGAAGCCATTAAACGCCACAACCACTGAAAGGCAGATTTGGCAACCGCTTTATATTATATTAGGACAGTTATTAATGTTCCTGCTGTCGCCTGTAGCAGTTTGAAAGTTGATGCGATAATATTATTGCAATAAATTGAAATGTTATACTTAGGACTTACTTATATAACGATGTTGACTCATACAATGGACAGATATGCCTTATATCAGCTTTACAGACAAATTAAACAATCTTCCTGCTCTATTGTAATTGACAGATTCGGGTTTTTTGGAACTAATTAAAATCTCGCATTTGTGTGTCTCGCTGAGTTTTGCTGTTACTCTGTCAGTAAATTGTAAATTATCCTTCTTTAAATACGGTTTGTTTAACAAAACAATTGAGTATATGGATGACGTCTAATTTAGCTACTGATACAATAAATAGTGTCAAATCTATATTATGTTGGGCGTTGTCAGTTGTCCCAGGTATATTTAATATATGCGACTTAGTGAAACCTGTTAAAATGAAACTAGGAACCTTCATAATACGAGGCTACAACGCTGAACCCTACCCGAAAATTCGAAATGTCTACCTTCCAAAGTAGAGATACGTCACTTTTGCATCCGACAGACAATATGTCGGCTGGAGAAGGCTGCTAGTACATAACACCGCGTCTGTCAAATGCACTTCAAGTCAGATGCGGCGTTGTTTGATTGCAGGGCCATGAAATTCACCACAACGTGACTGCGGGAGTCATCCTAAGCGACCACAGTCTGGTGCTCCAGGGCGTCACGCGTCTCACGGCTGGCGACTACACTTGTCTCGCCGCCAACACGGAAGGCAAGGGCACTAGCAACCCCGTCATTCTGCGAGTCATGTGTGAGTACATGCTGCTCTCCCACATACTGTGCCCCGCAAGTCTCTGACTCCGCCCTCTAACGCCTGCATTGATCCTGCGTGGTCAGTGTTTAAAGCTAAATCATCTGATATTTCGTTCCTCTTAATTGGAAACTCGACCGACGTCATCTATTTCGTCTGCGTTATTTCAGATTCATTGCCCGCTATCTATTGGGCCCAACTGAGTAGGTACCTGAAGACGGAGTCAGAGCCCTATCCCCGAAACGTCGTTTTTCTATTTTATTTATTAGACGATGGAAAATATCCAAGGAATTTTTTATTAAAATGACTCTCCATCGTCACGAACTTTAAGATTAGAATGTGTCATGTCCGTGTAATTTAATTTGGCTGACGAGAGGGAGGTGAGATTGTATAACACGGTCTGCGCATGCTCTGCTTAGTACTACAGTCGAAAATAATATCTCTCAGTTGTATTTGTGCGCACATGTAGTAATGGAGCGAACACCGCTGCAAAGAATGTTATTTGACCGGCGAATAGCTGCGTAACCAAGCCGTAACCAGCCAAACCAAAACCACGCCTATGAAGCCAGAAGTGTAATAAACTGACGCGAACATTGTATTACGAATATAGTTTCATACTTTTGCCATCAATTTCATGTAATTTGTTAGCTTTTTGACTGTTATATATGCTTAATTCTTGGGTTATAAATGATCACAGAATTTTAAGTAGAGTGGAATAAGGAACAGAGCTTGAGTACGAATGAATGAGTGGATAATGGAGGTAAATACCGTTCTACATTGTAATTAATAACATTTACTTACCCAATCTATCTTTATTACTATTTTAATCAGAACAAATTTTATCGTATGCCAGAGTGAGATGACGAGATCATAAAATTGTAATCTTCAAGACAGACTATTTCAGATAGCTTTCGGCTTGTCTTTCTACATACCGATATTATCATCAAAACGGGGTTTCTTAGGCGATATTATCGACTGGCCAAATGTAGTTGGTAAGATTTATATTTAGTAGTACGTAGGAACATTGCATTCGTGGCTAGCGATTAGCCACTTTAGTTTTACGTTCGTACGTTTCGTTTTTTGGTTCGTAGTGACGCAGTGTTCAGACCACCCATTATTCAGTATGTTCTGCTTTAACCACACTCGGAGGTTAGAGGAGATAGTTTATGTCTAGTAAATGCTTTACCTCGTGCCACAATGGTTTGTCATACGAAGTAGAATCTTGCGGTTCCATTGTTGAACGATAAAATATTGATGCGACGAGCGTAAAGCACGTGCAGATATTAATGTAACGTGGACGTTATTGTTGTGTTTAACCAAAATTGGGATCGTTGAAAAATTTTAGTAGAGCTTTCCAACACAAAATTTATTGGAAAATATTTCGAACGCTAGTTGTAGAGAAAAGTGAAAAACTTTTTATGTCCTGTATACTTTTTCCGCACGTCTTAGTAAACGCTTCGAAATCTTCTACTATAAAAATTCGTGATTTGTCGTCGTCAAATTAATTTGTCGTCAAGAAATGACGTCTTCAAACAAATGACTTGAAAAATGACTTGAGTAAGACACTAAGACCAACCCCCCCGAATGGGGTGATTGGTTTAGTCTCTTACACAAGATTTTAAAACGCAACCAACTCCCCCAAAGGGGAGGTTGGTGTAATTTCATACACAAGATTTTAAAACGCAACCAACCCCCCCGAAGGGGGGTTCTTGTAGTTTTAAAAACTTGACCAAACCCCCGAGGAGCTCCGAAAGGAGCGCTCTGCTCTAATAATTAATAATAAATGAGTTTTATACACTGTCGTATTATTATAACTTGATAACCATTTGACAGACATTACCCGAATTTTATTTAAAAGATGTTTAGTCGTCCAATTTGAAATGTAGAAGAAATAACAGAGCGAACCCTCCGAATCAGTTACGCCATACGTACATTTCATAACCATAATATTTGCAATCGCAGTGAACCATATTGAGAATGAAGTATGGCTCCCTTCCGTCCGCTTTAAAATTACTCTTTTGTCGGATATTTTCTTCCGAATTCGGTACAAAGCTATTTCATTACAGTAACATGTAATGATACTGTATAGAAATAGTAAATTAGCCTCAAGTTTTTCCTTCACCCTGTGCAGATAATTGTGCAGTCACACCCTTCACGTGAATTTAATTACCTCTCCCTGGAGAGACATCTACGACGCATATCGAACAGCTGATACGTATTCTACATTACTTGAGGGCTTTATATTTTAGGGCGGGGTAAGGGTACAACAGGAGGCGGATTGCGGCACAAGCACAAGTGTGATGCATTATTCATACGTGCCGTAGAATTAAAGGCGAATTCTGATTCAGCAAATGTTTAGTCACGGTTTTACATTCAGAACTTACGTCACGTCACTTACATTGTGACTTTGGTTTCTAGTTGGTATCTTACGATCTCTATGGCGAATGCAGCAATGAAAGATCGCATCATTCCGAAAGCAGCCAAGTGCCAGTAACTTTGGACCGGGGGTAGATAATGTGTTATTTGGGTACGGCTATCGCAAAGTGCATTGGGCGTAACAGATGAGTGTGGGTCAGCGTTTAACAGCCTTAACTATTCCGAGCTTTGGATACATTCTCCTGCTAGTAGTTATAAAACTATCATTTACGTAATTAATACTTATTAATGATAAAGAATTGAATTTGGCATATTTTTCGCATGAATTTAACGTGTATGTCTGTCGGTCCTTTCGCTTCGAAGTTACGTGTTGTAACATACTCGTGACATGTATTTTCAATTTAGTATTACGTGGGGAAGGTCTGCGTCGAAAGACGTCACACACGACTTTGTTGTTAACTTATGCCAATCTTACGTAACGTTTACTTAATTTCGGGCTGAAATCGAATTTTATCATTTTTTTTCAAAACGACTTATAGCACAGAAGATTGTACACTACAAACTATATTTTTCATTAACATCTTCATATGACTTATTTGAAATTTTATTAGCTTTTAGAATGTTAACGTCATTCGAGATAAATTTCTGACAGTGCAGTGCTATCCTTATACTGTAATTAACTTCAAAATTATAATTTTATATTTCAAATAAACTAATATAAAAATTAATGACGTAACAATCGATAAAATCGGATGTGAAATTATTTATCCCACTGCAGTTCAAACTTTACAATATTTTAGTAAATATTCACAGCGCATACCTAATTACCGCTTAAAATATTCTACTTGAAAAATTAAGTTTATTCAAATTCAATGGGAAACATGAATTAACCTCTTAGTGGCGATCTGTAACCGCTTTAAAGAAAATGACACTTATGGTGTCAGTTTCCGATACATTTTCTTCCTTCTCAGTGTTCTTATTCTTACTCTCTCATACTACTGAAGTGTTAAAAAGTAGAGTTGGAAAGTTTAAAACCCTTTACGTCACCATCATAATCGTTTTCATCATAAATTCGTCGTCAAAGCTTAGACCACGTGTTGACTCGTTAAAAAATTTATTCAATAATTGTTCAAAACCCGTGTTCGCGAAGTCGGCTGGATCGCCGGGAAGTGTTTTGTTGACATAAGCTACTTCTGTCACAAAAAGCATGTAAACATGTGCGTAGCTCTGATAGAGCTTGTACTAAAAAAAATATGTTAACAAAGCTATTTAATTAAAGCGACATTATGCGGCCTTAGTCAATGGACGTGTTCATATGCATGGCACAATTTAGCAAAAACCATCTATTTAATGGATAGTGGCTTAAACCAGTCACATACGTATAGTCAGAGCAAAACGAAGACTTTTTTAAACAATTGATAGCTCGTATTCATGAAAATAGTTGTTACGAGGAGGAGATTGATTGACTGTGTTTGGAAAAGGGGCCCTGAGAAGAATATTTTGATTTTAACAGGGAACGAGTAACAGGAATATGGAGAAAATTGTATAACGCTGAACTTCGTAACGTGTCAATTTCTATTATTACGATTATCAAATCAAGGAGAATGAGGTTATGTAGCGCACATGAGAGATGGAGGATGCATGCGAAGTTTCAGCTGGAAAACATGAAAGAAGTTAACACTAGGAGACCTAGAAATTTATTACAGGATATCAAAAGAATTCTAAATAGATTGTAAGGATGTTTACTAGATACCGAGTTCTCTTTCACGGTCCTAATTGCGGGCATTTGTGAACTTAATGAACTTTCGGGTCCCATTAAGGGCGGGGTAATTTCTAGACTGTCTTTGAGACCATTAAATTCCTTCAGATATTCTTAAAGATTTGCTTTAATTAATCTCCCATACGGACTTCGATCACTAGTGTTATTGGAAGTGGGTAGCTTTCAACAAAACACAGTTAATAAATGAACAAGATTGACAAGCAATGGACATTTACATACAGATTTTTATGAGTTGTGAATAATAAGACATTGAACCGTATTCATATAAACTTGACGTATCGTATGAAACACTCATAAAATAAAAGTTATTTTACGCATTTCGTAAATGAACAGAATCGCTGGTTAGGAGGACAATTTAAGGAAGGTGCTTGGGGAAGTTCCAGTCGATATCTTGAAATTCGTTTAATTCTTACAATTACGTTTCACTCATTAGATCGTAATTTTCCAGTTAAGTGGGCCGATTCATTTTTTCTGCCGCTCGTGACAGACTGTCGAATCGGGGTGGGAAGGGCGTAGTTCCTTCCAGAGTTTCCAGGCTATTAGATAAGTCAGTCAATAATTTCCGACGGATCGCACATATAAAGGAAATATTTTTCTCCTTTCATTGCTTAATACGACATTAAGACCCGATTACTCATAATATTTTCTTGTGTCCTATTATTTGCTTCTAGCGTATAATATACAATTAATTAAACTCTTCATCCCCGGGTATTATAAATATGATACGACGTTGCTACTTCTAATTTTGAGGGTATATGTTACAATGATCTTTAATGTGTAACCTTTTCTATTTCTGTCACTTGTTTATTTAGCTTAACATGTTGCATTAAAACTGTTGCAACAA